CTTCAACCACTACCATCTAACATTAACCTACATGTAAACCTTAATTAGATTATTTACAGTTTTAAAATGGTAAATACTGAATATATTGTGTTGCAGGTTGAGAAGGATGAGATGCATTATGAAAAAGAGGGAGATAAACAGATGTTAGAGCTGTCTGTGTAGTGCTGGTACAAAGGAACTGGTGAGGTATGTTTATTTTAGGGGATTTTAGGGAGTTCTCTTGCTGCACTATGTGATTGCCCCCCTGCCCCCCTGCCTTTATGACACTCATTTGAGTAACTATAGATCAAACTTTTGCAAATATTTACTTGCCAGATTTTAAAGCTGAAGCGCATTAACATTAACTAACAGTTCTGAAATAGGAAAAGAAAGTGAATTAAGATTAAGTGACCCTCATTGGTCCCACAAAGGGGAAATTTCACCTCCACATTTAACCTATCCGTGCAGTGAAACACCACATACACACTAGTGAAGGCACACACACTTGGGAGCAGTTGGGGGTTAGGTGCCTTGTTGGCTCAGGGGATCGAATCAGTGACCTTCCAGTCACAGGGCTGGTTTCCTAACCTCCAGGCCATGACTGCCTCCCCAGCATTGTGAGTAACAAAGTTGGTTTAATTTCCTTGTTATTTCTTATTTTAATTCTGCAAAAATTGTGAAGGTGTGTAGATTATAATAATTTGTAAGTAAAACACTTAGTTTCTGGGTGAAATTAATGCCTTTTAAACTTGTGGCACATATTGATTTGCTGAAACTGCTGAAAGCTGAGGGAGCGTGTACAAATTAAGATCACCAGGCACAACGCACCAGTATGAAACCATATGAAGAATGCAAATCATCAGTGGACAGATTTTCAATAAATATACAGGAGTACATTTTTAAAATAACCCCCTCAAACCTGATTGCAATCCATCCAATGACTATTACGGATAATGCAGTCCAGCATGTTATGTCATCGTCTACTGTTCAGAATAGATAAGCTTGAAAAGTTCTTCTATTTTAGATCCTTCAGTTGCCCCCACTTTGGACAGTGATGTAGCATGGTCACGTGTTTGTGTTGAAAAAACTGTCACTCCGCCCCTCATAGTGCTACGCAGCCACTGGTGGCATGAAGTCACTCACAGTGAGGCATGGTGACCATGGTGACCATGTTACCAGTGAAAATGGGTGCTTATCTGAGGAGAGCTTTCACAGTGCAGAGTGTTTGTTTAAGGTTGAGAAAGGGAGGAGGACACTCGCGTAATACTGGGCTCGTCTGAAATTCAAAAGTTTGACATTTGACAACTATGACTCCCAAAAAATCAACATCCGGTTTATTCCACCTCTGCAGTCGATTGAAAGTGCGTTGAGCGTTCGGCTCACTGCTGCGGTCTGCAGAATGATCACTTGTGGTGGCAGAATTTTACGCCGTAGCTTCAGTAAAAACAATGAAATATCCACTAACATTTGAACACAGCTTTAGTGTCCAGCTAAACAAACTCTTACTGTGAGTGTCCATTTGTTTCTGACCTGAGTTTGCTGATTGCTTTGAGGTGTGAAGGAAGAGATTTTTAGTTAGAAAATGTACCCAGTTTTATCAAAGAAAATGCAGTTGGTTTAAACAGTCAAGCTCTTGCCTGGTGTGGATCTTTCTTGACAGCCGCCACCAGTTTGTCCCGTATAAATGGGGAATGTAATATAGTGTCCCACAGGGCTCTGTTTTGGGGCCCTCACAGTTTTTATTTACAGCTTCTACTCCAACACAATGTTGCTTTTCCCCTTTAAGCTGCTGATATTCGGTTTTACGTGTTGACTCAGACAGATTCAGACACAGTTAAACATAATAGAAGATTATATTAAAGATATAAAAGCCTGGATCAGCAGGAACTTCCTCTTGTTCAAAACTAAAGTGTTGCTGTTGAGTCCAAAGTCTTCTCAAAATAATGCTGCAGATTTCATTTTTGGCTTTAATGGTAACTCTATGAGGTGCTGAGACGTTAGTTTATGCTTTCATAACTATTGGTTCCGCATTAACTATACAGTGTTGTTTCTGACATCTAAAGCTCTGGCGTTTCTTACTGATCTGTTAAAGTGTCCGTCTTCTTAACAGATTGAGTTTCTTGGCTGTTGAGATTAAATTCTCCTCTATATTCCTGAAGCATCACTCTGTTTGTGTTACCTCTGATGGCCTGTGATGCTCCAGTACAGTTTACAGAGAAGCAGCTCCAGATCATGATGCTCCCACCTTCATACTTCATTGTGGAAGTTCTCAGGATCTGATGCTTCTTTCTCCAAACATGACGAGCTGAATTATTTCTAAAGAGTTCTGATTTTGTTTTATCTGACCAGAGAACATTCCAAAAGAGTTCTGATTTGTCTAAATGCTCGTGAGCAAATTGGAGATGGTAAGAAGGTAAAAGTGGCCCAAATCTGATTTTCTGTTTTTTTAGGCTGTTCTTAATATCTTTTAAAGGTGACTGATATGTGACATTAGTGTGAACAGATCACACTCTGAAACTGACCTGCATGTGCAAAAGAGCAATGCAAAAACAATGGAGTCTGCAGTAACAGCCGGTAGCCTAAAGTTAACACTCATGTTAATGTGCAGTGGAGGCTTCGGGTTTCATCTCCACCAGCATCACCAAAGCTATCAAGACATTCTGATGGCTGACAGCTGGACTCATCACCCAGAATGTGCTCGAGCTCACTGAAAAAAGGGCACGTAATTCAGCCACAGCCACGTCTTCAGTTTGTGTCTGTGGTTTCTACAGACTTTGCTTTCAGACTTTAAACTTTTCTTTGGTGCTGCAGCCTCGTCCTCGTCCTCCTACAGTCGTGTTCGGCCATTTCTTTTCATTTTTGGATATGTGTCTTCTGATTTTATTTGTACAGAAACCTCAGCACAAATGTGTTTGAGATCTCATCAACGTTGGATTGACATAACTTGAATTCCGATCTGGCTGTTCATATTGCCGCATATTGGATATGTAGAGGATTTCAGTATCACATGTGAAAGTGTCCCAAATCGGAATTGAAAATTTCAAATTCAGTGTGTTTTTGCTGTTCATACTGACACACAGACACACATCTGTGTCATTTATGAAGAAAAAGATCAGATTTGGGCCACTTTAGCCTGCTGAAATTTCACCCCCACCTCCTCCCCCTTCTCCTTCACCTTGTCCACACCTGCGCTTGATCTTTAATATATAGGGGGGTCAGTCTTCCTGTGACCCACAGAGGCCATACTGAACTCCAGCCCAGAATTCCTCAGAGTTCCCCTCCTCTCATTATCTCATTTACCAAGGAATGGTCTGCATTCACAAAAACCAGTTGTACTGTGAATGGTCTTCCCAGTCAATGGCAACTTCTTTTACAATGACACCAGGTGCAGTTTACATGCAAACATGTTTTTTTTTTTAATGTAGTGCCTCAATACTTTTATTCCTATCAGTTTCATTTTTAATCATATCTTGGCTTATGCATATGAGTACATATTTTTCAGTACATATCATCACATTTATAAGTCAGTATTTATAAGTCAACAGATATTGTTTCTGTGAATTTGAAGAAAAATACATGCAATGAATTGAATATCAAAAATGAAAGTGTCTGTGTCTCAAAAGCACAACCAGTTTCCACCAGAAAACCTCAGATAATTTGATCATAACAATATCATATGATATCATAGTAAAATGTATTGTGATAAGATCACGAAAACCTATCTAATCTCGACCAATGGACCACAAGTTGAAAATGTCTCAAAAATAAAATTTTTAGCAGAAAAATTGAGTTTTGTTTTTGAGTGTGTTTATACACACACACACGCATACACACAGAAACTTATGACCATTGGACTGTTTCCGTGTGTAATGAGTGTGAACACATCTAACCTCTAAATAGAACCACAAACCAGCTAGTTTTGTTAGTTTGTTTGTATATGTATGTATGTGTGTGTGTGTGTGTGTGTGTGTGTGTGTGTGTGTGTATGTGTACACACACTCACTGTTAAGCCTGGCTTCAGCGTCTCCATGGGAACCTGCCACCATTTTGTATGTGGTGGTGCTGACCACTGTGGCCAGCTGGAGGCTTTAAAATGAGAGCACAAGCAGAACCTGCTGGAATAAAGATTCACAGATAAACAGAACAGATTTCTCTGATCTGTTTCTAAAGAATTTAACTCTTAAATTCACCATATTATTTAAATTTTTCTCGATCAGTTTGTAGACTGCTTAATATAAGGTTCAAATGAATTTACCAATTGTTAAACACGTTCATTTAATATTTAAATGCCCATGTTAAGGCATATTTTGTAATACAGAAATCTTGTAATTCACTTTGAAAGTAAATGTTTTTCACCTGCAGGCTTTACCCAAGATAATGCAAATTTCTTTAAGCCTAGTAATGGGAATTTCAGTGAAAGTATGAAGGCTGGGTGAGTGGGCGTGGTTATTAAGTCGAAGTATGAAGGCTGGGTGAGTGGGTGTGGTTATTAGGTTGAAGTATGAAGGCTGGGTGAGTGGGCGTGGTTATTCAGTGAGAGTATGAAGGCTGGGTGAGTGGGCGTGGTTATTCAGTGAGAGTATGAAGGCTGGGTGAGTGGGCGTGGTTATTCAGTGAGAGTATGAAGGCTGGGTGAGTGGGCGTGGTTATTCAGTGAGAATATAAAGGCTGGGTGAGTGGGCGTGGTTATTCAGTGAGAGTGTGAAGGCTGGGTGAGTGGGCGTGGTTATTCAGTGAGAGTGTGAAGGCTGGGTGAGTGGGCGTGGTTATTCAGTGAGAGTATGAAGGCTGGGTGAGTGGGCGTGGTTATTCAGTGAGAGTATGAAGGCTGGGTGAGTGGGCGTGGTTATTCAGTGAGAGTATGAAGGCTGGGTGAGTGGGCGTGGTTATTCAGTGAGAGTATGAAAGCAGTCATATATATATATATATATACAGTGATATATAATTTATATGTGAAAATGCAGTTTTGTTTTTTTGTCTACTTTAAACTAAGCTTGATCCTCTGTGTTTTTGTTGTTTAGGTTCTGGAGCCATGGCAACCACTGAGCCACTCCTCTACATCACCCTGCTGATCCTGCATAAGTTCCTCCCCTTCCTGTTTGCCCACTGAAAGACTTCAACCAAACAATATGACATTTTCACTTTATTTACCAAACAGCAAAGGGAAAATATATAAATAAATAAATATATCTACCATTATGGCACATCACTGACACAGATGGGATGCAACGAAGAATTTGGGAACATGACGCTGAAAAAAAAATTAAATATCAGTGAATGGAAAACGTCTCAGACCTGAACCGATGGAGACTCGTCTGGAGCTGATGCTAAACGGACTGTTTAAGAAAAGCATGATAAAAATAATATAAAAAGATTCTATGTGAATTAGAGATCACTTTGTGTCCTAAACACACACAACCCATCAAACGCTGCGTTCCGTTTCCAGATCCTCGTGTTCGCCCTGCTGAGTGCATGGCCCTCTTTATTTATTTTTCAGTGAAAATTAATTTCCCTTAATTTTTAATTTTAGATTTTTTATTGATTTTGTATTGTCCTATGGATTCTTGTCAGTGTGAACATTTAAGAATGAAGTTGATTTTAATTTTATTGGTTCAATCAAAACAACAATGTACACATTGTTTTTTTTTATTTATTTATGTTTATTTGTTGCTTTTTTTGCATGAACTGTTGAGCATTTCTGATCTGATGGTCAGTGAAACTCATCTGTGTTTTATTGAGAGAGTGTGTATGTCTTTTCCATTATTTGGCTCTACAGCAGGTTTTTTTTACGGTGTACACAAATACGACCTTATATATTTTGATCAAATAAGGCACATGTTTCCATAGTTGTTGTTTGTCACCTTCAATAATGTTTATTTTTAATAAAGATGGTGATCACCTTAAAACATTCATTTATAAAGAAAGAAAAAAACAGTATGTTCCCAACACCAGTTAAAATAAAGGTTGTTTCTTTTGTAATAACATTCGTTCTGTGAAGTTTTATATTTGACATCAGAATGAATGTTCATTTTTCTCTTTATGACTCAAACTCACCTCAGCTGCCTCACATATTTGTTTCTCATGTGCATCTAAAGTAGCAAATGTTTGTGAGCTTAGATATTAGATAATATACTTGCATAATGAAGGAGAAAGTCAAAGGAAAAAACAGGAATTTCCAAAGCTGGAGTTCAAAAACTGATTAAAAGCTACAAAGAAAATGTGCCTCCTAACAACCACCTGGAAGAGCTGGTCGACCCCAAAACTGCCCCCATCAGATAAACAGCACTTAAAGCTTTCATCTCTGAGAGAGAGGAGAAAATCAAGATGCTTCAGATCTGAAAACATCCACAGGTGTTTCTGTCCATCCTTCCACGTTGACTAACTGACCTCAGATCTCTGACTGACTGATTTCAGACTGACTGACCTCTGATCATAGACTGACCGATTTCAGATTGACTGACTTCAGACTGACGGACCTCTGATCATAGACTGACTGGCCTCAAATTAACTGGCTGACCAACCTCTGATCTCAGAATGAGCTCAGACTGAGAGATTGATCTCTGACTGACTGACCTCTGATTTCAGACTGACTGACTGACTTCTGATCTCATATTGACCTCTGATCTCAGACTGACTGACTTCTGATCTCATATTGACCTCTGACCTCTGATGATTCTGATCTCATATTGACCTCTGATGTCAGACTGACTAACCCCAGATTGACCGACCTCTAATCTCAGACCGACTGACCTCAGACTGACCTCTGACTGACTGACTTCTGATCTCAGACTAACTGATCTTTGATCTGTAAATGAAAAATTATTGACCTCTGTCCTCTGACTGATTTACATCTAACTGACCTAGTCTGACTAACTGACCTGTGAACTCTGCCTGACCTCTAAACTCATGAGACTGGCTGACTGACTAGCTTCTGACCTCTGACTGATTGACCTCAGACTGACTGACTGACCTCTAAATGAACTCTGACTGACCTCTGTCCTCTGACTGATTAACATCTGACTGACCTAGTTTAACTAATTGACCTCTAAAATCTGACTGGCCTCAGACTGACTAACCTCTGACAGACCTTTCCCTGACTGACCCTATGAGAGAAAGAAAGAAAAAAGAAAGACAAAAATGTTACCAACAGCCTCGGTTACTCCACTTCTCCTCCTTTATATCATCACTGGGTCACTCCCCACCCGCTCACCTTGGACACGTCTGGTCACTTCATCAGTTTCTATGATGCAGCAACTTATATTCAAAATGTAATGTTTCAATTAGTTTTCAAAAATTAATTATTTTTTGAACATTAATTGTTTGACTAAGCAGTAAAATATAAACAAATAGTACACTGTAAATATAAAAACACTGGGCTTTCAGAAAAACCTTCAGATTGTTTCATAAAGGCTAAATCCTGATTAAGAGGTAAAGAGGTAAGTGTGTTACTGACATCCTGTTTTACTGAAAACATAAACAACACCCAAACAACACTAACAACAATACCCAAACACAGCAACAACACCCCAGCACCACCTCAACACCACTCCAACAATACCCAAACACTACTCCAACTAAACCCCAATACCACTTCAGTAACACCCAAACATTACTCCAACAAAACCCAAATGCCATTCCAACACCCCAACAATGCCCAGACAATACCCCAATACCACCCCAACAACACACAGACAAAACCCCAAAATCTCAACACCACCCCAACAAAATCCAAATACAAACCCCAACACCACTTCAGCAACACCCAAACATTATTCCAACAAAATCCCAACACCCAAACAGTGCCCAGACAACACACCAGCACATAAACAACACCAAAATAATGTCCAGACAACATCCCAACTATGTCCAGATAACACCCCAATACCACACCAACACCAGACAACACCCCAACAACAATCTTTCTCAGAGTGACTCCTCTGCATCCAGCACTGACTGTGTTCTTTCAATGTTTTAGTCTGAGTCTGTTTGTCTTTCTGTCTCACTTTCTGTGGGATGATGTTCCCTCCATTATTTCTGCACAGAAAGAGTGGGCTCATTTTAAAAGGGTTACGGGTTATCTAGCTGGACATCCAGCCCAGTTCACCCTCTGCGACAGGAAAGAGTAACGTTTCCGTAGATGTTGTGTTGAGCGACTGAGAAAATGAATTCAGCACAAGAAACTTCAGTGAATAAATCAGTGGATGAGTGGCAGCTTCAGTGCGGTACAGCATTTCTTCTTACAGAGCCATGAGCTCTGTTGATCCTGGTTCCGCCTCATCAGTGGAGTGAGAACAGGGTTAAGGAGGAATTTTTTACATCATCTAAGCCTAATATAGTGCTAAACATTGTCCTGATGCATTTTACCTCCAATTCACCTGCAAAAGGACTGAGGCAGCTAAAGGAGGAGAATACAATAGGAGAGCACAATTAACAGTGAAAATAAAGTGAAAGTGTGTGAGTGCACAGCTTCCATCTAATCCGGTTAAGCTAAAACCCTCAGAGAGATTCAGCCCAAGACTCAAAACAATTACCCCCGCCAACAGAGCGTGTCAGCTTTGATCACACTGTTATTGTCTCAGCAGCTCATTCTGAACAAAACATCTACACCGACGCTTCCTCAGACAAAACACACCAACAAACACAACTCGTTAATGAACTCTCATCAGCGCACACTCAGCTAAGACTGTCCCTCAGAGTCACTCCTGCCAAAACAAAAGACAACTGGAAAAGATAAATGTTTGTACATCCAAATGAAACTGATCTAAATGTGAATCCAATTCAGAAATTGATTATTTAAATGGCCACTGCTGCATCTGGACCTTGACTGTTGAGATTTCAGACATTATAAAATAATAGCCTTCTAAAAGGATTTTTATTTACTGCTGGTGTCAGGAAGGTAAAAGAATAGAATGTATCTCCCCAGTGAAATGATCAGTGTCCAAAGCAGCCAGCAATAACTGAAGGAGGTCTGATTGTTTTTCTTCTTCATCATTGACTCTTTCCTCTGTTGTGCTGTATTAGTGTAGCTCAACTACTGTATCCAATCAAGCAAGCAAGGTTTATTTATATAGCGCTTTTTACAACAGGTGTTGTCACAAAGCAGCTTTGCAGAAAAATCCAGGTCCGAGCCCCCATGAGCGTCGCCAGTGGCGACAGTGGCAAGGAAAAACTCCCTAAGAGCAAAGAGGAAGAAACCTTGAGAGGAACCAAGACTCAATAAGGGAACCCATCCTCCTCTGGTCGACACCGGATAGCAAACAGCTTTAGTATAAAGTATTATAGTACAAAACTGGGAAAACAGGCAGAGCAATAGTTAATTAGATTAGTTTTAGTTTATGCAGCAGCAGCATAATCGGGAGGGTCAGTTCATGAGGGTGAGGTTTGCACAGCGTTGTACAGCAAGAAGCTCAATGGTGGTCAAGCCAGTCCAGAAGGCTGCCGAGCAGTGGCACCTGATCAAGGCAGAAGAAGCAACAAGATGAGATGCACAGGATGGGCAGCTGTTCAACTCGGTAAAGGAAGGAAAACACACAGATAGTTAGTTCTGTAAAGAGTGACTGATCACAGATTACAGTGTAACAGAGCAGCAGAGACTCCAGCAGGTCTAGTTATCACAGCCCTTTACTAAAAGGGAGAAAACAGAAGGTAACGGAGACATGAGGCTCCCTGAGATATCGGCACCCCTCCACTCCACCGTCAGCAAACCTGAGTGAGCGAGTGAGAGCAGCAGGACGACAGCACCAACACTCCCAGTTTACCATAATACTCTCTGACCATGAACCCCAGATCTGCACCTTTTATCTGACAGGGAAAACTAATTACCAAAGGCTCCACTAAACAAGTGGGGTTTTAGCCTAGACTTAAAGACTGAGGCTGAGTCTGAGTCCCGAACACTGACTGGAAGATTATTCCAAAGCTGGGGGGCTTTGTGTGAGAAGGCTCTCCCCCCCGATGTAACTTTAATTCTAGGTACTAATAGTAAGCCAGCACCTTGTGATCTAAGTAGCCGCGATGGTTCAAAGTAGGAGAAGTGTTCACTGGTACTGAGGGGCGAGTCCGTTTAGAGCTTTATAGGTCAGTAAGAGAATTTTGTAATCGACACTATGCGTTTACACGTTTACTCACGTTTACTCAGTAGGGGCTATTGTAAAGGAATGGTTCCCTTGAAGAACAATAAATGAACCCAAAAAGCCAAAGTTGAGGTGGCATAGTATTTCAACTGAGGAGGGCACAGTATTCCTACTGAGGAGGGCTCAATAATTCTACCGAGGTGGGCACAGTATTCCTACCGAAGAGGCTACAGTATTCCTACCGAAGAGGGCACAGTATTCAAACTGAGGAGGGCACAGTATCCCTACTGAGGAGGGCAGAGTGTTCCTATTAAGGAGGGCCCAGTGTTCCAACTGAGGAGGGCACAGTATTTCTACTGATGAGGGCACAGTATTCCTACCTAGGAGGGGACAGTATTGCTACTTAGGAGGGCACAATATTCAAACTGATGGGGGCACAGGATTTCTACTGAGGAGGGCAGACTATTCCAACTGAAGTGGGGGGGGCAGAATGTTCAAATTGGGGAGGACACAATATTCCAACAGAAGAAGGCATTGTCCCTCATGTCCTTCTGTGGCTATAGGTATTGGTTCCTCCAC